CACCCAAGCTCCATACCACACAGTATATGGAGGGGCGTAGAAGTAAAAGTAAAAATCAATCGCGCGCAAGTGAAAGGAAGACTTGAAGCAAGCTCATAACACCAATGCATGGGGGAATCGATAAAAGACGAAGTGGGTGAAAAGTGGGTGAAAAGGGGGTGCGAAGACTGGATATCTAGATAGTGGTAGATACCAGGCAAGGTCGACACAAGAATAGAAGAGAATATGAGGACGGGGTAGGTTATGCAAGTCGGGCAGGTTGGCGTCGAATCTCCGTTTAAAGGATAACGCATTTCTGGCTAGAGGTTGATTGCCCGGTAGGCTTGACCTCCATGGCGACCTTGGCTGCTTCGTAAAAGCTTTCTCTGATGCCCCTATTTTGGACGGCGGAGCATTCTATAGGAGTTAGCTTGAGCTCCGCGCGTGTTTTACACTGCTAGAGAAGGTGGAAATGGAATGGTCTCACCGAGGTATTTCACGGCGCCAATTTCCTTAGCCTTAGCTAGGCCCTGATCAAAAGTGATGGCATCGGTATCATTCTGCTCGTCGTCCTTACGCAGATCACACTTGAGGGCTGTCAGGACCACGCGCACGCCGGGGCAATTATCGTTTATTTCGGCGATCCACTTGGAGGATACGTTCTCGAACGAGTCAGGGCTGTCGACCTGTATTCAATCCCACTGTTAGCTTCCCTCTTGTGCAATCGCAGGGACAAATTCGCTTACACTGAAGCACAGCATCAGGACATGGGTGTCCTCATAGGAAAGCGCGCGCAGACGGTCGAACTCCTCCTGACCCGCGGTATCCCAGAGAGACAGTTCCACATGTGTTCCATCGACGAAGATATCTAGAGCGCGCATAAGTATCGAGCTTAATAACGGTGAATGGAGGGATTCGGAGTAATACCGTGCACGTAGTTCTCTATATTCGCAACGATTAGTTACCTGACACCAAATGGATTTTGGGGGATGCGCGCATACCAAAGACAGTGGGTTCACTGCGAACAAAAGTGAGGATATTAATAACCTAAATTAAAAGAGCTGGGACTAAGAAACACGGCTCTTACTAGACAGTTGGGAAGAACCTAATACGGGGGTTAGCTATGTCATGCCATCAATGCGGGTGAGGGGAAATGCGCACCCTCGAGTAAAGACGTTCAGCGCCGACGTCTTGCCGCAGGCTCCATCGCCTCTATTCACCTGTTAGTTCAATTGCGTGTGGCTTGCAACTTGCGACTTGCGACAAGAAATGGGGGTAACGGACAGCAGCACCATCTTGCGCTGAACGAGTTTCTGACGGCCACACAGCTGCATCTTGGATAGTGGAGGTAAAAGGAAAGGAGAAGGGTAAGGGAGAGTCGTGAAGTTGAGTAAGTTGAGCAAGTTGAGTTGAGTAAGTCGAGTCGGGAGCAGATTCCATCGATGACGCCCAGGGATCGGCGAGGGTTCCAAGCCCCCTTCTGGTCCACTTCGTTCTCTGTGTGTACGTAGTTATATGGCTGTGTTATACTCCGTATACTGGTATAGGCGATACGAGAATCTGACTCTTGGCTTCCCTTTACTTGCATCGACTGTCGCATTATGAGCCCAACATTTAAGCGCAATTAATACGAGGCATGTTAAGATTGTCAACATACCTAGCCCCTGAGATGCGATAATTCGGAGAATTTCTCTGTTCTTTATCCTGTATTGGTCCTGTTACTTGCTCTCTTATGCTTAACTTAGCATCTCACTTGTGTTGGCTAAGATAGCCTATAATTTAGACACCTACAATAACTTCATCTAAGTAAACAATAATCAAGCAACCCAACAGTCAAATGAATTCCGACAATAGATATCCTTGATTTCAATAGAGACACAAAAGACAAACAACAGTAACGGATAACAGAGGACAATAAGCGGTGCAAGTGATTGTTGACTCTCCTAGATAAAAGGCGGAAGCTCGCACCTGGCAGCTTTATCCAAGCTTCTCCAACACCCCACCACTTCGACCCATCCACTCTACTATTCTACCTTCCCTACCTTCTCAGTTGCGATCGCCCAATATGTCGGACGACGATGATTTTATGCAGGACTCTGGTGACGAAGAGTATCTGCCCCTTCTCCCTTCTCCGCTCCGCCTGACCGCGCTAACCGTCGCAGCTATGACTTTGAATACGAAGACGCAGACGATGATGACACCGGCGATATCGGGATCGAGAATAAATATTACAATGCCAAGCAGACCAAGGTCGACAACCCGGAAGAGGCGATCGACGAGTTCCTAGGCATTGCGCCCATGGAACAGGACAAAAGCGAATGGTACTTAGCTTGGCTCATGGCGGTGACCGCGGTGACCAGCGCTGACTGAACATAGGGGATTCAAAGGCTTGAAGCAGTCGATCAAGTTGGAATTCAAACTCGGGCGATACAGCGATGTGAGTCTGTCTGGAGAGGTCTATTGTCCACCTACTGACCGTCCGTAGGCCGTCAAACACTACCGCGAACTCCTCACATATGTCAAGTCCGCTGTGACACGAAATTATTCCGAAAAGTCCATCAATAATATGCTCGACTATATTGAGAAGGGGTCCGACGACGCAGAGGCGTACCAGTGTATGGAGGAATTCTACTCTCTGACCCTCCAATCATTCCAAAACACAAACAACGAGCGCCTATGGCTGAAGACCAACATCAAACTGGCCCGCTTATGGCTGGAACGCAAGCAATACACTCAGCTGAGCAAGAAGATGCGAGAACTCCATCGGGCATGTCAACATGAGGACGGAACGGACGACACCAGCAAGGGAACATACCTCCTCGAGCTCTACGCCCTGGAGATCCAGATGTTCGCCGAAACAAAGAATAATAAGCGCCTCAAGGCCCTGTATCAACGGGCCCTCCGAGTACGGTCAGCAGTGCCACACCCCAAGATCATGGGAATCATCCGTGAATGCGGAGGCAAGATGCACATGAGCGAAGAGAACTGGAAGGAAGCCCAGAGTGATTTCTTCGAATCCTTCCGCAATTACGACGAAGCAGGATCCATGCAACGAATCCAAGTGCTCAAATATCTGGTCTTGACCACCATGCTGATGAAATCGGACATCAACCCCTTCGATTCCCAAGAGACCAAACCCTACAAAAATGACCCGCGTATCTCGGCCATGACGGACCTGGTCGATGCATTCCAGCGGGACGACATCCATGCATACGAAGCGGTGTTGAGCAAACATCCCGACGTGCTTGCAGATCCCTTTATCGCCGAGAACATCGATGAAGTCAGCCGCAATATGCGCACCAAGGCCGTTCTCAAATTGATTGCTCCCTACACCCGCTTCTCACTGCAATTCATCTCTAAACATATCAAAATCTCGGTCTCGGAGGTCCTGGACATCCTGAGCTTCCTGATCCTCGACAAAAAACTCAATGCCAAGATTGACCAGGATAGTGGGACGGTCGTGGTGGAGAGCGCGAGTGACGTGGAGCGACTGCGCGCTGTGGGAGAGTGGAGCTCGGCGCTACGCACTCTCTGGCAAACAGCATTGAACGGTGAGGGATTGCGCGCCGACGATACTGCAACCGGGGGGATGTTTGCTGGGTTTGGAGATGAGGGGATGCGATCGATAGGGCGTCGCAAGGATAGGGCCAAGCAGGCGCTTACGTCCAGAATGGCCTAAGATCAGCCTTGGAATCTTCCACACGTGTGTACCTGCGGTTGAGCCGCGAGAGTACTATTCCCATCGATTCCCATCCTACGAACAATGATTCTACAGACCCGCTATTTAGAGTTGCTCTGACATAAGACGCTAAATTCCGAATCCATGGACTGTCCGTCTTTTCTATATTTTATACAGGGGGGGGTTTTAGTCTCACGTAAGGTTGGATACTTAACTCATTCTGTTAACGCCAACCCCAACCTTGGAAAAGCCTAGGCCTTAGCAAACAAAGAAACCCATGTGAACTGGCTTATCTCGATACAGCTCAGGTACATCGGAGTCTTCTGCCGACGCATGCTGGGTGGACGCACCGACAACGCAGCTGAACATCCTTCTATTGGTTTCTTTCCAACCCGACCTGTCTTTTTGGGAGGCCTGGATGCACAGATCTCGATTTCCTTGAAATGCCGACATGTTCTGTGGTACACTCAGCTCATCACAATCACGAAAAGTTAAGAATATCCGAGCACCTGTCGGGTGATAGATGATGTCTACCTGCTACCTAGTAGCACTACGTATGCTCCAAAATAGTTGTAGCGACCGTGTGCGTGTGTGGATATGTGAACATATCAATATGCAATATTGAATATTCAATATTCAAACCCCGCTTTAGATCAAAGAATCCGATTCGCAATCGGGGGATAAAAAGGTAGGGGAAAAAAGAGATATGGAATTGGTAAACCGACCGAGGGGTTTGGCGTTTACGCGATGTTTGCTTCCCTTTTCCCTTTTATTTCCCTCTGCCCCTCTCCCCTTCCTTTCTCTCTCCTCCTTTACTCCCCTTAACTCGGAGATTGATTCCGGATATCCCTGTGTGAGATGCCCTTTTCGGCTTCCTGCTTTTTATGGAGAACCTCCCCCCTCTGACATCATCCCTATAATATCATTGTGCTGTTTCTTGAATTCCCCGTACACACCATATTTTCCCCTTCATCCCCCGATTGGCGTACCTACACACTCATTATTTGATCGTCATGCTGAGACTCTTGACAGAAGTCGAATCCGCTGTGCCGGGACACATAGTGTTGCACAAAGACGTATCTCCAAATGTCAAGAGTATGTCCTAGCCCTTATAATGTACGAAGACCCCCCCATCTAACCAACCCCAAGACATAAACTTGACTTCAACTCGTATGCGATGTCCATATCAAAGCCCTGGAATCATCACTTCGGTTCTCACCCGTTCCCGGCCAAGCAGAACTTGAATCTACATCTCTACCGGGACGCCCTTTCCTCTTCTCTTATTTCTCCAGTAGCTCTCTCTCTGCCTCTACCTAGCTACTCTCATCCTCATCCACCCACCATGTCTAACATGAACGCCCTCTCCGCCGATGAGATGGAGCGTTTCCAAAAACTCTCTAATACCTACGAGCCGGATGTACAGGTATGTCTATCAATCTACTAACTGCCCCCCAACATCTGGCTTTACCGCTGACACTGACACTGACAGGGACCACTTGTCTCACGCAAGGAGCCTACTCAGAGTGTTGCGTTGGAATATGCTAATGCAGACCATGCGCTCTCTGCGAAGACTAATGTAAGCTTTCGTGGCTTGTTTCCCCCTCCCCTGTGTCACCCACATGGAGAATGTCTCGCGTCTAACGTGTGCTGTCTAGGCGCTGGCCATCACCCATCCGGAGTATCGTATCATGAAAGGTGATGGCAACTGTGGCTGGAGAGGTATGTCCGTTCCTGTGCAACCGGGGGATGGTTTGTCTTGTTTCGCATGCTAATCCCTGCAGCGGTGGCTTTTGGTTATTTCGAAACGCTGTTTGCGTTGCGTGACCCCATGCGCATCCAGCGTGAGATTACTCGCTTCAAGTCGCTCGAGATGCTCTTGAAGCAGGTCGGGCATTCGGAACATCTTTATGAGATCTTTACCGAAGCTACTGAGGATCTCTTTACGCAGACTATTAGTGCTATTCAGGGTGGTGCTGGGGATGAATCTTTCCTTGTTGATGCTTTCAATAATGAGTTTGCGTCCAGTGCTGTTATTACTCATTTTAGAGTGGGTGATGTGCTTTTTTATGTTTTTGGATGATACTAACTGCTGTCTAGCTTTTGACGAGCTCTTGGATGAGACTTAACCCGCATCGATACCAAGCTTTCTTGTCTCTGCCGCTGGAGCAGTATTGCGCCTCGCAAATAGACCCGTTGAAGACTGAAATTGATGAAGTTGGTCTTCAGGCACTTGTCGACGGGGTCATTGAAGGTGCCGGCTTTGGCGTGGAGATTCTGTACCTCGACCGAAGTGAAGGCGATGCTGTCACACCTCACCAGCTGTCCCCTCACAGCCCCAGCGGTGCGACAATCCGTCTCCTCTACCGACCAGGCCACTACGACCTTCTCTACCCAGCCGACCCAAATGTAAACATGGAACCGATAGTCAACTACCAATACGCAATGACATCCGACTACTCCAACTGGAACGAAGGCCCCCTCGGATTCGACGTCGACTCCTCCCTAATGGCCATCCCAAACCTCATGGCCGATCCATCCTTCGCAATGGGCACCCCCATGTCGCCTATGCCATCAGTCTCCCCCACCCCAACCAGTCCATTCCGAATGTCCCCCCAACAAGAAATGTACCAGTCGCCCATGCAGACTCATGCGCCAATCCCGTCTATCCCTGTCTCTTCACCTCCGCCACCAATACCGCCTCCTTCTGCTGCTCCGCCCCCAATGACTACATTGCCTAGTAGATCGTCCGACGGCCCGCAGATCAGACTCAACCCCTTGGTTATGAAACCTAATTTGAGTCGCTCGCTGCCTGTCACAACCCCCTTCAAAAAGTGGGTTCTCTCCACACCCCCACCATTTGGAATACACATTGTATGTGACATGTGAGCGTGGTTACTGACGTGTCTATAGTTCGCCTTACAATCAAGCCCATTTCCAGAATTCCGACTTTGAACCTATTCATTGGGAACCTCATGATCGACGATAAACATTGCCACGCGTACACGAGATGCATTTCTTTTTGCTTTTTTCGCCTTGAAAATTCCGGGCTTAGTGGGCTTGCGGGATTTGGTTAACGTTTCACCATCAAGTCCAGTCCCCGAAGCCGGTTTGATGAGCTTTTACAGTTGCCTGGTCCTCCCCTTATGATTTCATTTGCCCTTCTTTCCTCTTCCCCCTTTTCCTATGACTGTTCTCTTAGCGTGGTGCAGTGCGTTGCATGGTACGAGCGTTTCACCCAGATTGTTTCTTTTCTTCTTCCCTTCTTTCTTCCTTCGTTCCAGCCCCGGGGTCTATCGCCTTTCAACTTGATTTTTCATTTTCTCTTTCTATTCTTCTTCATATTCATCTTTCTATTGGTCTAGCAGCGAAACCTAAAGAAAGACACGTTCATGATACTTACTACCCAAACCCATTATCAGTCCCAGTATGACTCGTATATCCCATTCCTGGTATCTATAAACCTCACCAATATCCAAAACGCCAGTCCTCAAGTAATATCGTACAAACCCATCCATCTATACACCTCCATTCCAGTCCACAGACCACGGTCCACAATGATCTAAACCAAAACCTCCTCATCCCCAGCCTCCATAATAACCTCAATCATCCTCTCAATCCCCAAATCCCTCGCATGCCCACTCAAATACCCCGCAAGCACAAGTCTCCCCAACGCATCACCCACCCAATTCTGACTATTCCAATCCTCTTCCCCATCAGCCCCCGCATCACCATTTGATCGGATAGGAGTTTTGGATATTAAATCTCTAATTCTGCTGATAGGATCTAGACTGCGAGTTACATCGAGATCAGGATTGTGATCGAGATCCCGATTGGGGCTTGCAGATGGTGTTGTACACGCGCCTGATTCGTTCAACGTATCTACGCGTATTACGCGTGCTATATCTGTTCGATAACGTTAGCATCGGAGAATCAAGGCTAACTTTATGCATAGAGATGCATATGCATATGCATAGGTGTTTGTGCATGTGTAGGTATATGTGTAAACATATGCAGCGCAACACAACAAGGCAGTGCACTGCACAATGACAAAATAAAACCGGAAGGACGTTAGAATGGATTGGCGGATAGAAATGGCGGATTGGCAGATTGCAGATTGACGGAGGAGCCTCACCTGTTGAAGAAATGGGAGGTTGCCAATTGAGTCGCTCGACAAAGGTGAAAAAACCGGTTGATCCGACGATTTCTGCCACGGAGGATTTGGGCTGCGAGGGGGTTTCTGCGTTTGTATCGGTATTTGCATTCGTGTCGCCATTTTCTGGGGGTCCACCGTACTCCAAGTACAGGGCTGCGTGTCGATATCGTGCGTAATCTAGTGGCGAGGCGACGTAGATTATTATTGAGAGTGTGATCATGCTGTTTGGTTTTCGGTTTTTGGTCTTTTGGGCATTGCTTAAAGAATTGGAGATTGGGGGTGGAGTTGGGGAAACTTGATGATCGGTCGACTTCAAGGGTCTGATACCTCGGGATGACGTCGGTCGTGGTTTGGTGTAACCACCCTTTACTTCAACTTCTATTTCTCCGTACTTATGTTATATTCATTTGATAATATTCATTTGATTATTTGATATCCCATTATTTGATTGATCATTTCCTAAATGTCTTAAACATCGTATTCGGGAGTGCTTTGATCATTTGCCAGAGGACATACGCCGCATTGATCGTCGCCGGACTACTGTAATGCACTAGTCGGGGTGTTATATCGGCCTGAACGATGACGGCGTTGATGAGTGGCGCAGGGTAATTCTCACGGAGATACTCAACAACGAGGTCATGCCCATTCGTAATACCGCCTGCGATCAGATCAGATCAGCACCAACCACATTAGAAGAGACGTCACAAATGAGTGAACAGACGTAGAAGAGAAGAGAAGAGAAGAGAAAAGGAACATACCGCTAGTCCACAAGTTCCCATCCCTAGCAAGCCTAACTCCATCATCCCACAAGCTCGCTTCAGGAAACAACTTCCTCATCTCAGGAACCAACAACCTCGGTGCAGTAACATACCTCCCCTTCGCAATGCCCGAATACCCGATAATAAAAGTCCCCGTACAGATCCCCAAAATTGACGTCCCCGTCGCATAATGCCCACGCACAAAATCAAGATATTCCTCCGCCGGCGGCATGGCTTTCAGCGATGGACCGGGTACAATCACGACGTCCAATTTCCCCGGGGAGACAGCCTCGTCAGTCGGCGCGTCCGTTAACTGTATTGACATCTGCGCTGTTGCTGGTGTCATGTTGCTTGCGCCGCCTTGGCCAATGTAGTGGATTTGACAGGGCCGGCCCATGTCGATTAGGGCTTGTGTGAGCGAGGAGGAGTTTAGGTATTCTGGTGTGGCCATGTAGAGGAGGTCTACCGCCGCCAGGTCGAGGAGTTGGACGCTTCCTACGAGGAGGACTCCTATGCGGAGGACCTGAGACATTGTCAAAATGAGAGGGACGGTTTAAGCTCGAGTCCTGAGGTAGATTGTTTAGAGGAACTGGTGCATCGCTGGACTGTGGTCGGTTCATATACCACTATATCGGCATTGGTGGCTCCACAGGTATATTTCTCTCTCCTTTGGAAGGAACTGCTATCCTACCAGCTGACACTTTGCTGTGGTATCGGGTCTGTCACAGACAGGCGAAAATGCAACTAATCCATGGGATTGAGGCAACGTTCCCCAGCCAAATGTGCGCATAATAGCGCAGGCAGAGGGACATGGGTGGCACATGTGCAGCGTGCACGAGTCGATAATGACCCGAAGTCGAGCGGTGACCTGGTTAGTTTTTGCGTGTCCTGCTCTCAGGACGGATTCGCTCATGGGATGCTCATATCTTTGTTATTGGCAACCATGGAAGCCAAACCTGTGCGGGACAATGCCCTGTCTAGGTAGTAATAGGGATATGAATACTGAATAGATATGCAGTCGGGAAGTATCATCGGACAATCCCCGATCTCCAGAGTTCCACTCTACCCCAACCTCCACCCGTGGGCACATGCACAGTACATACACAGCGTACAATAAGCCGTCGAGGTCTCAGGGACAGACTCGCACAGAAATAAGAAAAGGGTTGAGTCGCACATAAGGATGTAGTGAGGTCTGTATCACCTGCAAATGTCAGTGATGTCCTGCCTGATCCCCAAGGCTCCCCTCGGGTCACTTTTCCCCGCATTATCAAGCCGAGTCGGCCCACTGCAACAGTCGAAGTATAAGTCGGAGATCTTCCCCGGATTCGGGGTCGGAGTGGTGCGCTCCGTTTCTCCTCTTTCTTGATCTATACCGTCCTGTCTCCTGTATATGGCGGAGTACTGTGTTCCTGCATCAGGAGACACCTTGTCCGGCGTGTGTTCAAGGTGGAGTCTATATAAAGTCTGACGCAGACTGTGTGTTTCTTCGTCCTCAGAGTGCCCCAAACGTCAACATCTGGCCTATCATGGCTTCCGTGCATAGTCAGCCCAAGGGCTTTGCACTTGTTCTACAGAATCCCTATCTCTGCGGTGTTGCATCGGTAAGATCCAGTCCAAACATGGATACCACAGTCACTGACACAAACACAACAGTTCTCAACCCTAGGAGGCTTGCTATTCGGCTATGACCAAGGCGTCATCAGCGGTGTCATCACAATGGAGTCCTTCGGGGCTCGATATCCCCGCGTGTTCACAGACAGTGGATACAAGGGTTGGTTTGTATCGACGCTGTTACTTGCAGCATGGTTTGGATCCTTGATTAATGGTCCAATCGCCGATCGAATTGGTCGGAAATTATCGATCAATGTGGCGGTCGTGGTCTTTACTATTGGGTCGATCATCCAGTGTGCTGCGATGAATATCCCGATGCTCTTCGCTGGTCGGGCTATTGCTGGTCTGGCAATTGGTCAGCTTACCATGGTTGTTCCGCTGTATATCTCTGAGGTTTCTATTCCGGAGATTCGAGGAGGACTTGTGGTCGTGCAGCAATGTAGGTTGACTCGAGCTTAGCAGAGTACGCATTCACTAACTGCTTTTAGTATCTGTTACTCTTGGAATCCTGATTAGCTATTGGATTGACTATGGAACCAACTATATTGGTGGTACCCGCTGCGCTCCTGGTATCCCTTATACGGGTGGAACGACAGCCAAGCCTGCCTTTGACCCTTACCATGATGTTCCAATGACTGGCTGCAGTGGACAATCAGAAGCATCATGGCGTATCCCTCTTGCCATACAGATTCTTCCAGCAGTTATTTTGGGCGTTGGAATGCTCTTCTTCCCGGACTCGCCGCGTTGGCTGTTAATGAAAGAGCGCGATGATGAATCCCTGAATGCACTCTCTAAACTGCGTCGACAGTCGAGGGATAGCCCTTTACTTTTGAACGAATATCTTGAGATCAAGGCCTCTATCATGCTGGAGAACACCTTCGCCAGGGAACATTTCCCCAATTTGTCTGGGTACAAGTTACATATTGCTCAGGTTTGGATCACAAACACCCTTTCGTAATTTAGAGACACTGACATCTTGCAAAGTACATGTCTTTCGTGACAACCTGGGCCCGTTTCAAACGGCTGGCTATTGGCTGCATTGTCATGTTCTTCCAGCAGTTTATGGGATGCAATGGTACGTCCCGTCTTGTTGGCTCGCTATCCCACGTATCTTGTCTAACTCCTATAGCCATTATCTACTACGCGCCCACAATCTTCGCCCAGCTAGGCCTAGACGGCAATACAACCTCCCTTCTTGCAACTGGCGTATACGGCATCGTCAACTGTCTCAGTACGCTTCCAGCACTATTCTTCATCGACAAAGTTGGTCGCCGAGTTCTCCTCATGGCAGGTGCCACGGGAACATGTGTCTCGCTGGTCATTGTCGGTGGTATCTTGGGTGGATATGGGTCACGACTAGTAGATAATAAGTCGGCTGGGTGGGCTGGTATTGCCTTTATCTATATCTACGATATTAACTTCTCCTATTCATTCGGTAAGATCAGCTCATTCTGGTATGATTTGTTCTTTGGGACTGGCTAACAACTGTTTCTATTATAGCCCCCATCGGTTGGGTTCTACCATCTGAGATATTCAATCTATCGATTAGATCCAAGGCGATCTCTATTACAACCTCGGCGACATGGATGTGCAATTTGTAAGTTGATGCTCTTCCAGCTAGCTGGTTCCATTCTGATATCTTCTACTTGCAGCATCATTGGCCTTGTCACGCCTGACATGCTGGAATCCATTACTTGGGGCACATACATCTTCTTCGCGGCCTTTTGTTTGCTTGCGCTACTTTTCACTTACTTCTGTATTCCTGAGACACGAGGAAAGGTAATTTCATGCTTCTTCCACATTTTGGTTACATCTTTCTCTCTTGCGTGATAATGTACTAAATAATCTTTACAGACTCTCGAAGACATGGATCTCATCTTTGGTGACACAGCCGCCCACGAAGAAAAGAAACGCATCAAGAACATCGAAGCCGAATTACGCGGAACCCCTATCGTGGAGGACGACGACTTGGTGAAACCAGTCGGTCAGCATGCAGAGATTGTCGACGTGTAACTTACTGGGAAATAATCAATACAAAGAAACCACGATTGTTTATCGACCACGTTCAAAATCATAAATTTGAAGTATTTGCTAATGCTATACCAATGGCTAGTTCCATCGCTGTTCATTCATACCAGGTTATCATTTCCCACGTACCCATCCTACAATGCAAGATACGCACCAAAAGAAGATATCAACATAAGAGGATCAAAGAAATAAACTAAAAGGGAATTTGTGCAATCATTCCGTTGGCGGGAAATTCACCCATTCCGAAAAGTCCATACCGCCGGGACTATGCATCTGCATCTGCTGTTCAACGGGGAACAAACTCCCACCAAAACCAGGGTCGCTAAACAACTGTCCGGGGAACGGCATGAAATTCTGCTGTTGCTGCTGGGGCATCATTTGGTAAGGGGGCTTCTGGTCCTCGAGCTGCTGCGCTCCCTCTGGGAGTATACCCGGAGCAGAGAGTGCCGACGGGCCGAGGAGTCGGTTGATTACTTCGTAGCAGCGGGTTGCGAAGCGGTTTGTGCCGAGGGAGGGGTGGGTTAGGAGGGCCTTTGTTGTTTCGATGTCTTGGACCCAGGATGCGGCTTCTGGATTTGAGGGGTCTGTCATTAAGAGGACAACCGGGATTAGGCCGGCTTGGAAGAGGAAGTAGCTGGTTTGGATGTTAGACGGGTCTGGGGTAGTTACCAGCGTGGGTGGGGGACATACAGCATGTACCATGCTCCTAGTCTGGTGCAAATGTAATTTTCCATGTATTCTGAGATGGAGGAGATGGTTAACCGGGCATTCTGGAGACAGCGCATTCGGCATTCTGTCTCGCAGGGATCTTCGCCTCCTATTTCTGGGGTGCCTGGGCTACTGCTGGTGTGTGGGGCCCAACGTCTGGCGGCCCAGCGGAGGAGAATTGGTCTGTATATCAGAATGGTGAGGTTCCAGTTTCTCCATAGCAGGCGGTTGCGGACGAGTGCGAGGGAGTCGGGGTCTGGATTGGCGGGCTGCACGGAGAGAGGCAGCTGCGGGTGTTGGAGGTAGGATGGAAGACCGCTATACCACTCTTCAATTGGCTTTTGCAGATTGAGAGTATCTTCGGGAGTAAGACTAGGGCTCGAGATGAGACGCTGGTAGACGCTATTGGTGAGGAGGTGGAAGCGGGATTGAGCGATCAACCCGGAGTAGATAGTTGGACCGGAGGATTCGGCGGGGAGAGTGGTTGTTGTAGGGGTCAAGGCCTCGTCGTGAATATTGAGAACCTGCTTTGCATCCATCACGCTGTCCTCTGGGAGAAGAATAGGTCGCCCAAAGGTTTTGGCGGCACCACTGTCAAAGATGAATACTCCCCACCACAGTCTTCTTCGAATCTCTCTTTGCAGCAAACTAATCTTCCAGCCAGGGAACTCCTTGTGGAGACCTAGACTCATGGCCATTCGAACAGCCAGACCAAGATAGTTCCATCCGGTGTTGGGCTTGTTCCGTTTCTGGGCATAGTTGCTCAGTAACAATAGTCCCTGTACCAATGTTAGGTTACCAGTCTCGAAGACAGATGCCTGCTGAAGGTATCCTCTGGCTTCTTGGTAGAATGTGATATCGAGGTCTGAGCTGTCATCGCCAATACTCCAAGCTCCAAGAGCCAAGATGGTGTTGAGGAGGATGTGCCAAGCCGTCCCATGTGGACGCAATGATGGCTCATTGAATTGCGCCCTGAATGTGGGCTCGTGAACGAATGGATAGCTAGTGTGATAATTGAGGAAATATGCGTCAATGAACGCTTGTTCGATAAGCCCAGACGGCGCACTTTCGAGCAGCTGTGCTTTGAGGGGCACGCCACCTGATCTTGCCGAGTGAACAGGTATATTGAGATCAAATCCATGATCAAATAGCGCTCGCAGTGGTACAACACTTGAAGAAGCACCA